CAACCACAACCACCACCACCACCATAATCATCACCACCATCACCACCACAACCACCACCACACGGCCTCCATAATAGCCTGGTCTAGGTCCCTACAACCACCACCACAACCACCATCACAACCACAACCACCATCACCAGCACCACAACCATCACCACCACCACCACAACCACCACCACAACCACCACCACAATCATCACAACCACAATCATCACCACAACCACAGCCTGCATACTAGCCTGGTCCAGGTCCCTACAACCACCACAACCACCACAACAACCACCACAACCACCACAACGACCACCACCACAACCACCACCACCACAATCATCACAACCACAACCATCACCACAACCACAGCCTCCATACTAGCCTGGTCCAGGTCCCTACAACCACAACCACCACAACAACCATCACCATCACAACCATCACAAACACAATCATCACCATCACAACCACCACAACCACAATCATCACCATCACAACAACCACCACAACCATCACAAACACAATCATCACCATCACAACCACCACAACAACCATCACCATCACAACCATCACCACAACCACAGCCTCCATACTAGCCTGGTCCAGGTCTCTACAACCACCACAACAACCATCACAACCACCACAACCATCACCACCACAATCATCACCACCACAACCATCACCACAACCACAGCCTCCATACTAGCCTGGTCCAGGTCTCTACAACCACCACAACAACCATCACAACCACCACAACCATTATAACCACAATCATCACCACCACAACCATCACCACCACCACAACCATCACAAACACAATCATCACCACCACCACAGCCTCCATACTAGCCTGGTCCAGGTCCCTACAACCACCACAACAACCACCACAACCACCACCACAACCATCACCAACACAACCACCACCATCACAACCATCACAATCACCACCACAACCATCACCACCACCATCACCAACACAACCATCACATCCACAACCATCACAACCACAATCATCACCATCACAACCACCACCACCATCACCAACACAATCATCACAACCACAACCATCACAACCACCACCACCACCACCACACAGCCAGGAGGGCAACCACAGCCTCCATACTAGCCTGGTCCAGGTCCCTACAACCACAACCACCACAACCATCACAACCACCACCACAACCATCACAACCACCACAACCATCACCACAACCATCACCACAACCACAGCCTCCATACTAGCCTGGTCCAGGTCTCTACAACCACCACAACAACCATCACAACCACCACCACCACAATCATCACCACCACAATCATCACAACAACCATCACCATCACCATCACAACCACCACAACCATCACCACCACAATCATCACCACCACAACCACCACAACCATCAACAACACAATCATCACCACCACAACCATCACCACAACCACAGCCTTCAAACTAGCCTGGTCCAGGTCCCTACAACCACAACCACCACAACCATCACCACCATCACAAACACAATCACCACCATCACAACCATCACCACCACAACCACAGCCTCCATACTAGCCTGGTCCAGGTCCCTACAACCACAACAACCACCACAACCATCACAAAAACAATCATCACATCCACAACCATCACAACCACAATCATCACCACCACAACCATCACCACCACAACCACAGCCTCCATACTAGCCTGGTCCAGGTCTCTACAACCACAACCACCACAACAACCACCACAACCACCACAACCATCACAACCATCACCAGAACCACAACCACCACAACCATTACCACAACCACAGCCTCCATACTAGCCTGGTCCAGGTCCCTACAACCACAACCACAACCATCACCAACACAACCACAACAACCACCACAACCACCACAACCATCACCACAACCATCACCAACACAATCATCACTATCACAACCACCACCACCACACAGCCAGGAGGGCAACCACAGCCTCCATACTAGCCTGGTCCAGGTCCCTACAACCACCACCACCACAACCACCATCACCACCACCACCACCAAAACCATCACCACCACAATCATCACTATAACCACCACCACAACCACCACCACCACCACAAACACCACAGCCTCCATACTAGCCTGGTCCAGGTATCTACAACCACCATCACCACAACCACCACAATCATCACCACAACCATCATCACCACAACCATCACCACCACAATCATCACCACAACCACAACGACCACCACCACCATAATCATCACCACCATCACCACCACAACCACCACCACACGGCCTCCATAATAGCCTGGTCTAGGTCCCTACAACCACCACCACAACCACCATCACAACCACAACCACCATCACCAGCACCACAACCATCACCACCACCACCACCACAACCACCACCACAACCACCACCACAACCACCACCACACCCACCACCACAATCATCACAACCACAATCATCACCACAACCACAGCCTGCATACTAGCCTGGTCCAGGTCCCTACAACCACCACAACCACCACAACAACCACCACAACCACCACAACGACCACCACCACAACCACCACCACCACAATCATCACAACCACAACCATCACCACAACCACAGCCTCCATACTAGCCTGGTCCAGGTCCCTACAACCACAACCACCACAACAACCATCACCATCACAACCATCACAAACACAATCATCACCATCACAACCACCACAACCACAATCATCACCATCACAACAACCACCACCACCACAACCATCACAAACACAATCATCACCATCACAACCACCACAACAACCATCACCATCACAACCATCACCACAACCACAGCCTCCATACTAGCCTGGTCCAGGTCTCTACAACCACCACAACAACCATCACAACCACCACAACCATCACCACCACAATCATCACCACCACAACCATCACCACAACCACAGCCTCCATACTAGCCTGGTCCAGGTCTCTACAACCACCACAACAACCATCACAACCACCACAACCATTACAACCACAATCATCACCACCACAACCATCACCACCACCACAACCATCACAAACACAATCATCACCACAACCACAGCCTCCATACTAGCCTGGTCCAGGTCCCTACAACCACCACAACAACCACCACAACCACCACAACCACCACCACAACCATCACCAACACAACCACCACCATCACAACCATCACAATCACCACCACAACCATCACCACCACCATCACCAACACAACCATCACATCCACAACCATCACAACCACAATCATCACCATCACAACCACCACCACCATCACCAACACAATCATCACAACCACAACCATCACAACCACCACCACCACCACCACCACACAGCCAGGAGGGCAACCACAGCCTCCATACTAGCCTGGTCCAGGTCCCTACAACCACAACCACCACAACCATCACAACCACCACCACAACCATCACAACCACCACAACCATCACCACAACCATCACCACAACCACAGCCTCCATACTAGCCTGGTCCAGGTCTCTACAACCACCACAACAACCATCACAACCACCACCACAATCATCACCACCACAATCATCACAACAACCATCACCATCACCATCACAACCACCACAACCATCACCACCACAATCATCACCACCACAACCACCACAACCATCAACAACACAATCATCACCACCACAACTATCACGACAACCACAGCCTCCAAACTAGCCTGGTCCAGGTCCCTACAACCACAACCACCACAACCATCACCACCATCACAAACACAATCACCACCATCACAACCATCACCACCACAACCACAGCCTCCATACTAGCCTGGTCCAGGTCCCTACAACCACAACAACCACCACAACCATCACAAACACAATCATCACATCCACAACCATCACAACCACAATCATCACCACCACAACCATCACCACCACAACCACAGCCTCCATACTAGCCTGGTCCAGGTCTCTACAACCACAACCACCACAACCATCACAACCATCACCAGAACCACAACCACCACAACCATTACCACAACCACAGCCTCCATACTAGCCTGGTCCAGGTCCCTGCAACCACAACCACAACCATCACCAACACAACCACAACAACCACCACAACCACCACAACCATCACCACAACCATCACCAACACAATCATCACCATCACAACCACCACCACCACACAGCCAGGAGGGCAACCACAGCCTCCATACTAGCCTGGTCCAGGTCCCTACAACCACCATCACCACAACCACAACCACCACAACCACCATCACCACCACCAAAACCATCACCACCACAATCATCACTATAACCACCACCACAACCACCACCACCACCACAAACACCACAGCCTCCATACTAGCCTGGTCCAGGTCTCTACAACCACCATCACCACAACCACCACAATCATCACCACAACCATCATCACCACAACCATCACCACCACAATCATCACCACAACCACAACCACCACAATCATCACCACAACCATCACCACCACAATCATCACCACAACCACAACCACCACCACAACCACCACCATAATCATCACCACCATCACCACCACAACCACCACCACACGGCCTCCATAATAGCCTGGTCTAGGTCCCTACAACCACCACCACAACCACCATCACAACCACAACCACCATCACCAGCACCACAACCATCACCACCACCACCACAACCACCACCACCACAACCACCACCACAACCACCACCACAATCATCACAACCACAATCATCACCACAACCACAGCCTCCATACTAGCCTGGTCCAGATCCCTACAACCACCACAACGACCACCACAACAACCACCACAACGACCACCACCACAACCACCACCACAATCATCACAACCACAATCATCACCACAACCACAGCCTGCATACTAGCCTGGTCCAGGTCCCTACAACCACCACAACAACCACCACAACCACCATCACAACCATCACCACCACAACCATCACCACCACAATCACCACAAACACAACCACAACCACCACCGCCACCACCGCGCCCCCTACCTGGTCATGTAACGGACGTCATCGTCTGCCGCCTGATTGGATGTTCCCATGACCCAATCAGTGAGGTACTCCACCAACTTGTTCCTGAGTCACACACAGACACACACACACAGACACACACACAGACACACACACAGACACACACACACACACGAGTGAGTGGGCGAGTGAGTGAGTGGGCGAGCGAGTGAGTCAATTAATGAGTGAGCGAGTGAGCGAGTGAGTGAATTAATGAGCGAGCGAGTGAGCGAGAGAGTGAATTAATGAGTGAGCGAGTGAGTGAGCGAGTGAGTGAATTAATGAGTGAGCAAGTGAGTGAGTCAATTAATGAGCGAGTGAGTGAATTAATGAGTGAGCGAGTGAGTGAATTAATGAGCGACCGAGTGAGCGAGTGAATTAATGAGTGAGCGAGTGAGTGAGCGAGAGAGTGAATTAATGAGTGAGCGAGTGAGTGAACTAATGAGCGAGCGAGTGAGTGAATTAATAAGTGAGCGAGCGAGTGAGCGAGTGAGTGAATTAATGAGTGAGCGAGTGAGTGAGTGAATTAATGAGCGAGTGAGTGAGTGAATTAATCAGTGAGCGAGTGAGTGAATTAATGAGTGAGCGAGTGAGTGAATTAATGAGCGAGTGAGTGAGTGAATTAATCAGTGAGCGAGTGAGTTAATTAATGAGCGAGCGAGTGAGTGAATTAATGAGCGAGCGAGTGAGTGAGCGAGAGAGTGAATTAATGAGCGAGTGAGTGAATTAATGAGCGGGCGAGTGAGTGAGCGAGAGAGTGAATTAATCAGTGAGCGAGTGAGCAAGTGAATTAATCAGTGAGCGAGCGAGTAAATTAATGAGTGAGTGAGAGAGTGAGTGAATTAATGAGCGAGTGAGTGAATTAATGAGTGAGCGAGCGAGCGAGTGAATTAATGAGCGAGCGAGTGAGCGAGAGAGTGAAATAATGAGCGAGTGAGTGAGCGAGCGGGCAACTATTCCCACCTGAACTTCATCTCCTGGCAAAAGGAGAGGTCATCCCTGTGCTGCATCATCACCTCGACCAGCTGGCAGAGTTTGGTCTTGATGTGAATGGCGTGCATGGAGTTGCCCAGAACACGCACGTACCTACACAGACAAAGGTCCCACAGGTAGCCCCTTGAACAAGACTGTAGGGGGGGCAAGTGCTTTTGGTAGCGACTAGCACCGCCGACGAAACACACACACACAAAGCTCCACCACCCAACCACCCACGTACCCACCCACCCACTCACGTACCCACCCACTCACCCAAGCACCCACCCACTCACCCCACCACCCACCCAGCCACCCACTCACCCACCCAGCCACCCACTCACCCACCCACCCACCCACTCACCCACCCCCCCACCCACTCACCCACTCACTCACCCCCCCACTCACTCACTCACCCCCCCACTCACTCACCCCCCCACTCACCCACCCACCCACCCCCCCACTCACTCACCCACTCACCCACCCACCCACTCACCCACTCACCCACCCACTCACCCACCCACTCACCCACCCACCCACTCACCCACCCACCCACTCACCCACCCACTCACCCACTCACCCACCCACCCACCCACTCACCCACCCACTCACCCACCCACCCACTCACCCACCCACCCACTCACCCACCCACCCACTCACCCACCCACTCACCCACTCACCCACCCACCCACCCACTCACCCACCCACTCACTCACCCACTCACCCACCCACTCACCCACCCACTCACCCACCCCCCCACTCACCAACCCACCCCCCCACCCCCCCACCCACCCCCCCACCCACCCCCCCACTCACCCACTCACCCACACACTCACCTAACAAGGTTGAGCAGCATCCCCTCGAAGTTGGCCTGCCCCAAATGCTCCGTTGAGCCCTCACTGCCATTATCCAGGAGGTTCTTGACGATGGCGATGGTTTGCTCCACGAACAGCGTGTTGGACTCCGTTACGAGTACCTGAGGGTGGGTGGGTGAGTGGGTGAGTGAGTGAGTGGGTGGGTGGGTGAGTGGGTGGGTGAGTGGGTGGGTGAGTGGGGGGGTGGGTGGGGAGGTGGGTGAGTGGGTGGGTAGGTGGGTGAGTGGGTGAATGAGTGGGTGAGTGAGTGGGTGAGTGGGTGGGTGGGTGGGTGAGTGGGTGGTTGGGTGAGTGAGTGGGTGGGTGGGTGAGTGGGTGGGTGAGTGGGTGAATGAGTGGGTGAGTGAGTGGGTGAGTGGGTGAGTGGGTGGGTGGGTGGGTGAGTGAGTGGGTGGGTGGGTGGGTGAGTGGGTGAGTGGGTGAGTGGGTGGGTGGGTGAGTGGGTGGGTGAGTGGGTGGGTGGGTGGGTGGGTGAGTGGGTGGGTAGGTGGGTGAGTGAGTGGGTGAGTGAGTGGGTGAGTGAGTGGGTGAGTGGGTGGGTGGGTGGGTGAGTGAGTGAGTGAGTGGGTAAGTGAGTGAGTGGGTGAGTGGGTGGGTGGGTGGGTGAGTGAGTGGGTGGGTGGGTGAGTGGGGGGGTGAGTGAGTGGTGAGTGGGTGAGTGGGTGAGTGAGTGAGTGGGTGGGTGGGTGGGTGAGTGAGTGAGTGGGTGGGTGGGTGAGTGGGTGGGTGGGTGAGTGGGGGGATGAGTGAGTGAGTGAGTTGGTGGGTGAGTGGTGAGTGGGTGAGTGGTGAGTGGGTGAGTGAGTGGGTGAGTGGGTGAGTGAGTCAGTGAGTGGGTGGGTGGGTGAGTGAGTGGGTGAGTGGTACGGGGGGGGGGACGAGATGGTACAGAGGTAAGTCCCCCAGGTAGCCTCCGGAGGACACACACACACACAACCCTCACCCACCCTCACCCACCCTCACCCACAAACCCACCCACACTCACCCACTCCCTCATCTACTCACCCCTCTCACTCACCCCTCTCACTCACCGCACTCACCCCTCTCATCCCTCTCACCACTCTCGCTCACCACGCTCACCCCTCTCACTCCTCTCACCACGCTCACCCCTCTCACCCACCCCTCTCACCCGCCACGCTCACCCACCACGCTCACCCACCCCTCTCACTCACCACGCTCACCCCTCTCACTCACCGCGCTCACCCCTCTCGCTCACCACGCTCACCCCTCTCATCCCTCTCACCACTCTCACTCACCACGCTCACCCACCCAGCTCACCCATCTCACCCACCCCTCTCACCCACCACGCTCACCCCTCTCACCCACCCCTCTCACTCACCACGCTCACCCACCACGCTCACCCACCCAGCTCACCCACCCCACTCACTCACCCTTCTCACCCACCACGCTCACTCACCACGCTCACCCACCACGCTCACCCACCCAGCTCACTCACCCCTCTCACCCGCCCACGCTCACCCACCTGTCCCTGTCCATCGAAGAACTTGCTGATGCTGGCCCTCAGCTGGCTGAAGAGGATTGGGTAGAGGGCCGGGCTCAGCTCCAGGCCCACCAGCTCCTTGATGTTGGTGCGGATCTGTGGGCCCACCTTGTCGTGCGTACACACCATCAGCCGCAGGATGTGAGAGAGGAACTTCGCCACGGGGGGAGGCGGAGGAGGGGGGGAGTGGTGGCCACCGTGGACGACGGACGAGTAGCAATCGGTCGGTCCCTGGGGCGGAGGGAGGAGGGGAGGAGGGGGGGAAGAGGAGGGGGGGGGGGGGGGGGAGGAGGGGGGGAGAGGATCGTCAAACTTCTCAATCGCTCGCTCGCTCGCTCGACCGCTCACTCACTCAATCACACGTTCACTCGCTCACTCACACGCTCACACATTCACTCACTCACTCACACGCTCACACATTCACTCACTCACTCGCTCGCTCACTCGACCGCTCACTCACTCACTCACTCGACCGCTCACTCACTCACATGTTCACTCAGTCACATGCTCGCTCACACGTTCACTCACTCACTCACTCGCTCGCTCGACCACTCGCCCGCTCGACCACTCACTCGACCGCTCAGTCACACGTTCACTCACTCGCCCGCTCGACCACTCGCCCGCTCGACCACTCGCCCGCTCGACCACTCGCCCGCTCGACCGCTCGCTCACACGTTCACTCACTCACTCACACACTCACCTCACACACTCACTCACACACTCACTCACTCACACGTTCACACAACAACAACAACCGCCATTCGCCACTTAGTGGCGGTGACGTCACCACGACGCTTCTGCCAGGCTATGTGCACCGTGAGGCCACGTGAAGTGTCGAACGCCCGCTGGCAGGAGGTCACTGGGCAGACCCAGATGCCACGGGTCGACTGACTGAGATGACTGGCTGATGCACCACCTGTGCCCCCTACTGTGCCAACCTGCTGTGCTTTAGCCACCCGGCGCTCCGCTCGTTGTTCTGAGCGTCGCTCCTCCGCCCTCCGTTGTTGTTGGAGGGCGACTGCCTCCAACTGCCCAGTAGCGTCCTTCACGAGCCTCCTCCACAGAGGCCGATCTTGACACCGCTGGTACCAGTCATCGGCAAGTCCACTCAGCTCCACGTCCTCCTGTACCACATCACTCCATCTCTTCTCTAGCCCGTGCCGCGCCCGCTTAGCCCCCTCAATCCGGCCAAACAAAAGCTGTTTCGGCATGCGGTGGCTGGGCATGCGGGCTACATGACCCAGCCATCGCAGCCTTGCCTGCCGGAGGAGCTCACCGATGGGACCCTGCCCAGATCTTTCAAGGATTTGTGAGCTCCTCACACAATCCAGTCTGGTTAAACCCAGGATGGATCGTAGGCAGGCCAGCCTAAATGTTTCTAACCGGCGAAGATGTTCCATTAGGGGGGTCCACGTTTCGCAAGCGTAGAGAAGGGAGGGAATGACCGTGGCCGAGAAGACCTGAAGCTTAGTGCGGAGCGACAGACCAGGTAGCTTCCACACAGCGTTACGCAACCGATGAAAAGATATTGCTGCTCGACTGATTCGGAGTGAGACCTCTGCTGTTAAACTGGAGCCAGTCATAAGCACACTGCCCAGGTATGGGAAACTCTCCACTCTCTCCACAACTGCCCCATCACCGATTGGGAGTTGTGGGGGTGGAGTGTCCGATGGTACAAAATACCCAGGCAGGTGCTTAGTTTTGGTGGGGCTGATGGTAAGGCCCCACCTCTTAGTGGCACGCTCCAGTCTCAGCAGCAGCGTCTCCAACTCCTCCTCTGACTGAGCAGCTATTACCAAGTCATCAGCATACATAACGTGGTTGAGCAATAGGGAGCCATCCCTTGACCGCACCCGGGCATCGATTAGCCTCCCATTATATCTGTACCATATGGAGATTCCCCCGGTACAGCTATTGAAGGCTTCACGAACTACGTGGTCAAAATAGATGTTAAATAATGTGGGAGCCAGAGGACATCCCTGTCGCACCCCAAGGTGTACAGGGAATGGCTCTGACTCCCGGCCACGTAGTTTTACCCGGGCCCGCTCACCATCATGAAGGTCCTTAATGATCGTGAGCAGAGGGTCAGGTACTCCAAAAGCACGAAGAACGACCCAGAGCCCAGGCCTACTGATGGTATCATAGGCCTTGACCAGGTCAATAAAGCAGAGATGTAGGTCTTGTTGGAATTCCCTACACCTCTGCTGTAGCAGACGGACAGAAAATATGGCATCTGTGCAGGACCGCCCTTTCCTGAAACCGCATTGGGGCTCCGCAAGCCTCTCCTCAGCGTGCCTGGCAAGGCGATGCTGAATAATCCTTGCCAGGACCTTTCCCGGCACACTGAGGAGTGAGATGCCCCTGTAGTTGTTACAGTCTGTGCGGTCCCCCTTCTTAAAAAGGGGGACCACCAGGGCATCCTTCCAATCCTGCGGAACCCGTCCGGTGGTCCAGACTGTTGTTGTGATGTCATATAGGGCAGTCTGTGCACAAACGCCACCCTCCCTCAGCATTTCGGTTGGGATATCATCTCTGCCCGCTGCCTTTCCTGGTCTCAGACTCCGGATCGCCTTCAATACTTCCTCAGCAGATGGCACCTCAGCCAGCCACTCACAGGGGGTGACTTCTTCCAATATTTGAGGCACCGCAGCCTCAGCAGGGTCATCCTCACTTTGTGCCACGATGTTTTCCTGGCTGAGGGATTTTCCCTCCCCCAGGACCTCACAGAAATGCTCAGCAAATCTGCAAACCTGTTCCTGGGGGTCGGAGATTGGATCACCGTTTTTTCCCCTAATGATGGTAATAGGTGTGGCGCTGCAGGTTACTTTTTTGATGGAGTTAAATAGAGATTTGTGATCACGGGCCACTGAGGCAGACTCCATCTCCTCAGCAACCCGCGACCACCACCCATCCTTGCAGCGCCTCACGGCTCTCCGAACCTCCGAGCGAAGGCTGCGGTAAGCCTCCTCATTCTCTGACGTGGGATTCTGTAGCCGATGACAGTGGGCCTGTCGCTTTTTCTCAACCATCCTGAACACCTCCTCTGTCAGCCAGGGTCTCTGGGGAGGTCTGGACCGCGTACCCAAAGCAGCCATTGCAGCTGCATGAGTCACAGTCCTAAACCTCGCCCATTTACCCTCGACATCAGGAGGAGTCGGGGACGATGCCAATCCCAGCCGCAAGCGATGATGAAATTCTCGCTTGCAACTTTCATCAGATAACTGAGACCAGGCCACTTTATGTTGGAATGGGGTCCTGGGTGTACACCCACCACCGGAGTGGAAGAATGGCAGGCGCATCTTACAGATGACTAGTCGATGGTCAGAGGGCAGATCAGCTCCACGGTAGGTCCTGGTGTCAAGGACATGGGCTCGCATTCGCTGGTCCGTCACTATGTAGTCCAGCAGGTGTTCTTGCTTGGACCCGGCATGCATCCATGATGTTGTGTGGATGCGCCGATGCCGGAACAGCGTGTTGGTAATTACAAGCCCATGGACTGCACAAAAATCTAGCAGCCTCCTACCGTTGTTATTGAGCTGATCTGGCCCATGCCCTCCAATCACTCCAGACCAGGTGCCAGTATCATGACCAACTCGGGCATTGAAGTCACCCAACATGATGACTCTATCCCGAGGGGCCACTTTAGCCAGCACCTGTGACAGGAGGTCATAGAAGGCACCTGACTCATCGGCTTTGCCTGCATCCCTCCACGGATGTTCATCTTCGGTGGGGGCATAAGTAACCACGACCACCATTCCTCGCCTCCGGTTGATGGGAAGGCGAGCCCAAAGTAGCCTGGGGCTTACAGCTTCCCACACCTCACCGCCACGCTCCCACGCCCCCTTCATTCTTCTGTTCAAAAGAAGACCCACACCCTGTTGTTTGGCAGTCTGCTGCCCCGAGTAGAGGACTGTCCACCCCTCATGGTGGCAGGAGCCAGAGCCGGTCCACCGGACCTCCTGAATGCCGCATAGATCCAGGCGGTACCGGTCCAGCTCCCGACAGAGGAGTGGCAGCCTCTCCTCTGCAGTGAGCGTTCAAACATTCCACGTGGCCACCCGTAGTGGCTTTTCGTTGTTTCTGGAGTAGCCCCGAGGGTAGGTATTCAATCTCCTGGCTCCGCCAATTGGGGTTTGGCCAGGAGACGTCATAGACGCCTGGCCCCCCGGGGCCTCCGGCACAAGCTTATTAGTTACATATTTCAGTTTAATTCGTGGTTTCGTGGTAATTAATTGAAGGTGGAGGGGTTACCAGCCCCTCGCACCCGTCCAGAGCCCCCGTTTAGCCCCTGTGGTGGACACAGACGCCATGAGGGGAGGAGCCAATCAAAATTGGATCTCCCCCCACAGCGCTGTCCACGACAGAGTTGCCCGTCCGGCACCGCGAGGAGGTAGGGGGTTGTTTTGCTCACTCACTCACACGCTCACTCACACACTCACACGCTCACTCACACACTCACCTCACTCACTCACACGCTCACTCACACACTCACCTCACTCACCTCACACGTTCACTCACACACTCACCTCACTCACCCACACACTCACCCACACACTCACCTACGCACTCACCCACACACTCACCCACACACACACACTCACCCACACACCCACACATTCACCCACACACTCACCCACTCACTCACACACTCACCTCACTCACACACTCACACGCTCACACACACACTCACCTCACTCACTCACACGCTCACACACACACTCACTCACACACTCACACGCTCACTCACACACTCACCTCACTCACTCACACGCTCACTCACACACTCACCTCACTCACACGTTCACTCACTCCGCCATCCCCCCCCCCCACCCTCACCATCGCGGCCGCAGACGCCGGCAGAGCCGCCCCAGCCACCGCCTCCGCTCCGGCCACCGCCCCCAACCCGGCCACGGCCACCGCCCCACCCCCGCCAGACGCCGATGCACCACCACCACCACCACCGCCACCACCGCCTCCGCCGCCACCACCGCCTCCGCCGCCACCACCACCGCCTCCGCCGCCACCACCGCCGGCAGCGGCCGCGGCAACGGCCGACCCGCCGCCGCCACCGGCCAAAGAAGAAGAGCACCCGGCGGCCGACATCGCCGACACGGCCACCGAATTCTTCCTCTCGCCGGCGACTCCGCCGCCTCCCATCGGCGGGCTGTGGGTGCCCAGCGAGGCACCGGCGCCGGCGGCAAAGCCGCCGGCGCCGGTGCCGCAGCCGCCGCCGGCAAAGCCGCCGTGCGGCAACCGCGGTTGAAGGCAGACGCCGCCAAGAGCACTGAGGAACCCCGTGGTGTTGATCCACTCCTGCAGCAGCTCGGGGTCGACGACGTCCACCGAACCGCCGCCGCCGCCGCCGCCGCCACCGGCGCCGGCGCCGGCACCGCCGCCGGCGCCGCCGCCGCCGCCGCCGCCGCTGGCGTGGGACATTCGCCGGCGAACCACCGTCCGGTGGAGGGACTCGGACGCCTGACGGGGTGGGCGGGGGTGGGGGGGGAGTGGGACAGACGGACGGGGGGGGGGGGTTGTCCGGTGAGGTTTTCGGTGGAGTTGGTGTTGTCCGGTGAGGTTATAGACCGATAGATATCCATAAAGACCCACAGAGACCCACAGAGACGCACAGAGACCCACAGACACCCACAGAGACCCACAAAAACCCATAGACCCATAGATATCCATAAAGACCCACAGAGACCCACAGAGACTCACAGAGACCCACAGATATCCATAAAGACCCACAGAGACTCACAGACAACCATAGAGACACACAGGACCCATAGACCCACAGATATCCATAAAGACCCACAGAGGCCCACAGAAACCCAAAGAGACCCACACTAAAACTAGACTGTGTGTGTGTGCGTGTGTTACCAGGGTAGACAATTACATCAGCGGCTAAACACAACTCTTAAACACAGCGTGGTGACGCAGATTCTAAACGTGGAGGGGGAAAAAAACGGAGATTGAGGGAGAGACGCAGAATCCTAACTACACAGCAGCAGGTCCGGGATGCAACCCGTGACCTCCTGTAGACCAGGCGAGGTAGTCAACATCTCACAGGGTCCGGGATGCAACCCGTGACCTCCTGCAGACCAGGCGAGGTCGTCAACATCTCACAGGGTCCGGGATGGAACCCACGACCTCCTGTAGACCAGGCGAGGTAGTCAACGTCTCACAGGGTCCGGGATGGAACCCGTGACTTCCTGTAGACCTGGCGAGGTAGTCAACACCTCACAGGGTTTGGGATGGAACCCACAGCCTCCTGTAGACCAGGCGAGGTAGTCAACATCTCACAGGGTCCGGGATGGAACCAGTGCCCTCCTGTAGACCAGGCGAGGTAGTCAACATCTCACAGGGTCTGGGATGGAACCCACGACCTCCTGTATACCAGGCGAGGTAGTCAACATCTCACAGGGTCTGGGATGGAACCCGCGACTTCCTGTAGACCAGGCGGGGTCGTCAACATCTCACAGGGTCCGGGATGGAACCCACGACCTCCTGTATACCAGGCGAGGTAGTCAACATCTCACAGGGTCAGGGATGGAACCCACGATCTCCTGTAGACCAGGCGAGGTCGTCAACATCTCACAGGGTCCGGGATGGAACCCACGATCTCCTGCGTACCAGGCGAGGTAGTCAACATCTCACAGGGTCCGGGATGGAGCCCATAAACTCCTGCAGACCAGGCGAGGTAGTCAACATCTCACAGGGTGCGGGATGGAGCCCATAAACTCCTGCAGACCAGGCGAGGTAGTCAACATCTCACAGGGTCCGGGATGGAGCCCATAAACTCCTGCAGACCAGGCGAGGTAGTCAACATCTCACAGGGTCTGGGATGGAACCCGTGACTTCCTGTAGACCAGGCGAGGTAGTCAACATCTCACAGGGTCAGAGATGGAACTCTCTACTTCCTGTAGACCAGGCGAGGTCGTCAACATCACAAGTCCGGGATGGAACCCGTGACTTCCTGTATACCAGGCGAGGTAGTCAACATCTCACAGGGTCCGAGATGGAACCCGTGACCTCCTGTAGACCAGGCGAGGTAGTCAACATCTCACAGGGTCCGGGATGGAGCCCACGACCTCCTGCATACCAGGCGAGGTAGTCAACATCTCACAGGGTCTGGGATGGAACCCACGACCTCCTGCAGACCAGGCGAGGTCGTCAACATCTCACAGGGTCCGGGATGGAACCCGTGACTTCCTGTAAGCCAGGCGAGGTCGTCAACATCTCACAGGGTCCGGGATGGAACCCACGACCTCCTGTATACCAAGCGAGGTAGTCAACATCTCACAGGGTCCGGGATGGAACCCACGACCTCCTGTAGACCAGGCGAGGTAGTCAACATCTCACAGGGTCCGAAATGGAACCCACAGCCTCCTGTATACCAGGCGAGGTAGTCAACATCTCACAGGGTCCGGGATGGAACCCGTGACTTCCTGTAGACCGGGCGAGGTCGTCAACATCTCACAGGGTCTGGGATGGAACCCGTGACTTCCTGTAGACCAGGCGAGGTAGTCAACATATCACAGGGTCTGGGATGGAACCCACAGCCTCCTGTAGGCCAGGCGAGGTAGTTAACATCTCACAGGGTCCGGGATGGAACCAGTGACCTCCTGTATACCAGGCGAGGTAGTCAACATCTCACAGTGTCTGGGATGGAACCCGCGACTTCCTGTAGACCAGGCGGGGTCGTCAACATCTCACAGGGTCCGGGATGGAACCCACGATCTCCTGCGTACCAGGCGAGGTAGTCAACATCTCACAGGGTCCGGGATGGAGCCCATAAACTCCTGCAGACCAGGCGAGGTAGTCAACATCTCACAGGGTCCGGGATGGAGCCCATAAACTCCTGCAGACCAGGCGAGGTAGTCAACATCTCACAGGGTCTGGGATGGAACCCGTGACTTCCTGTAGACCAGGCGAGGTAGTCAACATCTCACAGGGTCAGAGATGGAACTCTCTACTTCCTGTAGACCAGGCGAGGTCGTCAACATCACAAGTCCGGGATGGAACCCGTGACTTCCTGTATACCAGGCGAGGTAGTCAACATCTCACAGGGTCCGAGATGGAACCCGTGACCTCCTGTAGACCAGGCGAGGTAGTCAACATCTCACAGGGTCCGGGATGGAGCCCACGACCTCCTGCATACCAGGCGAGGTAGTCAACATCTCACAGGGTCTGGGATGGAACCCACGACCTCCTGCAGACCAGGCGAGGTCGTCAACATCTCACAGGGTCCGGGATGGAACCCACGACCTCCTGCAGACCAGGCGAGGTCGTCAACATCTCACAGGGTCCGGGATGGAACCCACGACCTCCTGTATACCAGGCGAGGTAGTCAACATCTCACAGGGTCCGGGATGGAACCCACGACCTCCTGTAGACCAGGCGAGGTAGTCAACATCTCACAGGGTCCGAAATGGAACCCACAGCCTCCTGTATACCAGGCGAGGTAGTCAACATCTCACAGGGTCCGGGATGGAACCCGTGACTTCCTGTAAGCCAGGCGAGGTCGTCAACATCTCACAGGGTCTGGGATGGAACCCGTGACTTCCTGTAGACCAGGCGAGGTAGTCAACATCTCACAGGGTCTGGGATGGAACCCACAGCCTCCTGTAGGCCAGGCGAGGTAGTCAACATCTCACAGGGTCGGAATGGAACCCGTGACTTCCTGTATACCAGGCGAGGCAGTCAACATCTCACAGGGTCTGGGATGGAACCCGTGACTTCCTGTATACCAGGCGAGGTAGTCAACATCTCACAGGGTCCGGGATGGAACCCACGACCTCCTGTATACCAGGCGAGGTAGTCAACATCTCACAGGGTCTGGGATGGAACCAGTGACCTCCTGTATACCAGGCGAGGTAGTCAACATCTCACAGGGTCTGAGATGGAACCCACGACCTCCTGTAGACCAGGCGAGGTAGTCAACATCTCACAGGGTCCGGGATGGAACCCACGACCTCCTGTAGTCCAGGCGAGGTAGTCAACATCTCACAGGGTCTGGGATGGAACCCACGACCTCCTGTATACCAGGCGAGGTAGTTAACATCTCACAGGGTTTGGGATGGAACCCACGACCTGGAGACCTGGCGAGGTAGTCAACATCTCACAGGGTCCGGGATGGAACCCACGACCTCCTGCAGACCAGGCGAGGTCGTCAACATCTCACAGGGTCCGGGATGGAACCCACGACCTCCTGCAGACCAGGCGAGGTAGTCAACATCTCACAGGGTCCGGGATGGAACCCACGACCTCCTGTAGACCAGGCGAGGTAGTCAACATCTCACAGGGTCCGGGATGGAACCCGTGACTTCCTGTAGACCTGGCGAGGTAGTCAACATCTCACAGGGTCCGGCATGGAACCCACGACCTCCTGCAGACCAGGCGAGGTCGTCAACATCTCACAGGGTCCGGGATGGAACCCACGACCTCCTGCAGACCAGGCGAGGTCGTCAACATCTCACAGGGTTCGGGATGGAAACATCTCTCAGGCTAATCGAACCCACGACCTCCTGCAGACCAGGCGAGGTCGTCAACATCTCTCAGGTTAATCGAACCCACGACCTCCTGTATACCAGGCGAGGTCGTCAACATCTCACAGGGCCCGGGATGGAACCCACGACCTCCTGTAGACCAGGCGAGGTCGTCAACATCTCAGCACTCACCTGCCCATCCTCCACCTTGGTCTTGGGATAGTTGAGAAGCTGCTTAGTGGTTTGCTCCCAGCGGAGGTAAGTCTCCTCCCACGCCTACGAGGGTGGGGGGGGAGGGAGGGAGGGAGGTGAGGGAGGTGAGGGAGGGAGTCAGTGCTCACCAAATCCTCACCGCCGCGCTCGCCAGCTGAACCAACTCACCGGGCTCGCTCGCTCGCTCACCAAGCTCAGCAGCTAATCAGCTCGTACTCACCAGATCATCATCTCGCT